TATCCTTACTGGAATAGACACTTACTCTGGATGCAGATTTGCGTTACCTGCATGTAATGCTTCTGCCAAAACTATCATCTGTGGACTTACAGAATGCCTTATCCACCATCATGTTATCCTATACAGTATCACCTTGGATCAAGGGACTCACTTCACGGCAAATGAAGTGCAGCAATAGGCCCAGGCTCATGGAAGTCACTGGTCTTACCATATTCCCCATCATCCTGAAGCAGCTGGCTTCATAGAATGATAGAATGGCCTTCTAAAGACACAATTGCAGTGCTAGCTAGGTGGCAATACCTTGCAAGGATGAGGCAATGTTCTCTAGGAGACTGTATATGCTCTAAACTGGCATCCAATATATGGTGCTGTTTCTCCCATAGCCGGGATTCATAAGTCCAGGAATCAAGGGGTGGAAATGGGAGTAGCACCATTCACTATTAACCCTAGTGACCCACTCACAAAATTTTTGCTTCCTGTCCCCATGACCCTATGCTCTGAGGGTCTAGAGGTCTTAGTTACGAAGGGAGGAATGATCCCATCTGGAAACACATCACTAATTCCATTTAACTGGATGTTAAGAATGCCACTTGGCCACTTTGGGCTCCTCATTGCCTCTAGATCAACAGACAAAGAAGGGAGTTACCATATTGGCTGATGTGGTTGATTCTGATTAACAAGAGGAAATTGGATTGATAATACATTGTGGATATAAAGGAAAGTATGTCTGGAACACAGGAGATGGCTTAGGGCATTTCTTAGTACTACCATACCCTGTGATTAAAGTCAATGGAAAGCTACAGCAACCCAATTCCAACATGACTACTAGTGGCCCAGACACTTCAGGAATGAAGGTTTGGGTCACCCAACCAGGCAAAGAACTATGACTAGCTGAGCTGCTTGCTGAGGCAAAGGGAATATGGAATGGGTGGTGGAAGAAGGTATTTCTAAATATGATTTACGACCATGTGACCAGTTGCAGAAAAAAAGGACTGTAATTATTATGAGTATTTCTTCCTTGCATGTGAGCATCAAATATTTTTGTTTTCTCTACTTATAAAATATAACATGTAAACAGAGCTAGTGCATTTTTGGTGTTAGTTGTATCATGTTAGGCTCAAGTATGACTTATAATTGTCTTTATTTAGAGACTATGTGTGGTTTAAGGAGATGTGTACAGGTGGCAAGTTGATAAGGGATGGATGGTGATGTTTAAGGTTGTGTGTCTTCTTGACTGGGCCATGATTCTCAGTGGTTTGGCAATTATAATGTAGATTGACAGTTATGTAATGATGTAATCACCTCTATGATGTGATCTGATATAATGTAATCATCTACATGATGAGATCTGCTATGAGCAGCCAATCAATTAAAAGGGAGTTTCCTTGAGGGTGTGGCCTGCCTCCAGTATAGAAATAGATGTTCCAGCAAGGCTCTTGCTCTGGATCTGGCTCATGATCATCAGACCTCGGTTCTTGGGACTTGAGCTAGCAGCTTACTTGTTGATATTGGGATTCATCAACCTCCACAGCCTGTGAGCCAGCAGCCTGCTGTCTTACCTGTTGATCTTGGATTTGTCAACCTCTGCAGTCTGTGAGCTAGCAGCCTGCTGTCTGACCTGTCGATCTTGGGTTGCTTAGCCCCTGCAGCTACGTGAGTCAGGAGAAGCCTCCAGCCTGATGCCTGACCCACAGACTTGGGACTTGCCAGCCTCTACAACAGTATAAGCCATTTCCTTGATATAAATCTCTCTCGCTATATATATACACGTACATATACACTTCACTGATTTTGCTTCCCTGGAGAACCCAGCCTAAGTCAGAGAATGACCTATTCTTTCACTGCTCCCTATTGCCCATACGATGAAGTCCAAATTTCTTAGCATGGATTTAAGAGCTTCCATGGTCCTGCCTTAGTTAACCTATGTTGCTCCTCCACCTCCTCAAGCCTCCCTTCCTCTGGGAAGTCTTTCTAAGCCCATCATATTCCCTAGATAGAACAGGACCCTTCCTCCTTGGTGCTCCAGATGTAACTGCATCACTTCTCTCACAGCACCTACAACACTTGAAGGCTGTTATACATGTTTATCTTCTCTACTAGGCCTTTCACCCCTCAAGGCAGTGGCTGTTGTATGCAGTTGTGTAATCCTCTCATTGACATAGGTTACCAATAATACATGCTTTTGGATTGCATCTACGTACTCACACACACACTTTATCTACCTGTTTTTGGGCCTGAAATTTCATCACTAAATACTCTTATTTGGGGGTTGAACACTTGTTAAAAGCAAAAATCATTCAAGAAGGGTTCGTACGGCTGCACTGGTATGATTTAGTCTGGCTTATCATTTTCCTCTTTGATAAGAGTGACTTCAGTGGCAGGATTTGTGGGTGCTGGAGGTATGGATGAGGTGTGATGGACCTGAAAGAACATGCCATTTCCATCTTCCAAATTATTCTGCAAGAGCAGACAGCCCACGGTTCTGCTTCATTATCGTCTCCCACCACCCAGGGCTGCCACTCCCATAAGGGCAGCTTTCACTGGGATGGGGGGTACTGGTACCAGGAGCTAGTTATAACTGGAGGGGTCCTCTGGACAACAGAGACCTGACCTATGACACTCAGATCCCAGCGCTGATGAGTCATTGAAGCACTGCTGAGTCATGTTGCTTCTGCTTCATCTCATTAAAAGTCCTGCTGACTAACCCAGCCTCTGCGTGGAGGAGGCTTCTCTCCAGTCTGCTAGCAGGAGGTCTGGCTTCAATGTGCCATTTGAAGCTGAGTGACCTCCAGCAAGTTCTTCAAACTTTCTGAATCTCAGTCTCTACAGACCTAGAGGAAGGAGGACAACGTCTATCCCCAGGGTTATTGTGAAGATTAAGGAGAAGCCATGTGCAAAGAAGAGATTGTGCTTCCCTTCCCCTTCCCTCTCCTTCCATTTCTTTCTTTCCCCACCCCTCGTCCTTTGTTCCCCCACTCTTCTCATCTTCTCTCCTTCCTCCTTAACAGTTTTTTGAGACTTTAGCATGCACATATTTACCTCAACAAACGTTTGTTGCAGGCATGTTGAATAAATCATGATTTCAGGGCACTGTTGAGGAAGGGCTCAAAGATGACCAAAGAATGGTCTCTAGTCTGAGGGACTGTTATTTATTTGCACACTAGTGTGTATTGGACGTGTATGTGTGTGTGTGTGCGTGCATGCATGTGCACATGCACATTATCTCATCAAATTGCTGAGCGCTAGTGAGGCAGTCTTGCCTCTGCAGTTAGCCCAGAAAAGTGTTACCCTCTTGGTGTCTCATATGGACTGAGGGGAGCACAGAACATTGCTCACCAGAATGGCCGTAATGCATGTGTGTGTCCTATAGCTATCTCACTTGTTGGCATTTGGCTTGGGCTGCCTACAGTTTCCATGTCATCACTGCTGTTGTGTCTGATTCTGGCTGGGACCCAGGCACCCACTGCTCTGGAGTCAATTTCCCAGGACATTGAGTAAGCAAAGAAGATGAATGGGTGAGAAGGGGCGGGCCCAGGGATCTGGACTCCCACTGAAAGTACTCAGTGCAGACTTCATTCCTGGACCCTCCGAAGGAGGGGAGACCAGCATCCTATAGGCCCTTGGAACCACCATTCCTCATCCCCACCAGGCACCAGTCCCCAGAGTGGCCTAGGTTCATCCTCTCCTTGGAGTTGCAAGTCTGTGTGCAGGTTCTGATCCTTTTTAAGGGACTGGGGGCCTCCTCTGTGCCCATGGGACAGGGATCTATTCTCTCAAACCTTAAAGACAGGGTCACATGGCCACATAGTCTCAAAAAGCTGAATCAATGACAGGACAAGAAGGAAGGCTCAAAATTGTCTAGTTTAGTATTTCCCAAATATGTTCCAAGGAACACTTGGTCCACAAGTTTGTAATGGGTTTTTGTGAAGAAATGGGGTTTCTAGCCAAAGACATCTGGAAAATACTGCATACTGCCCTGTCCCCAGGAGACATACTACACATTGGAGTAGTGAAGGCCTTGAGAAGCCTTGCACTAGTTTAATTTTGCTTAAACTTGTCATTTTCTACATTTATTTACACATGGAACGCCCTTTGTGGTGGACCATACTTTGGGACACATGGATGCAGCCCTCAGTTTTAGACGAGAAAATTGAGGACCAGCAAGGTTGGGTCACACAGGGCAAGGCCCAGACTTTGATCAGGCTCCCTCCATCACCTGGGGTTCCACGAAGTCTCCCTGCTTCTCTCCCCCTCACAGTCCTATCATTTCCATCTCTTTGAACTTGGATTCTCCTTATCCTCATAGGGAAAGTAGTGGGGACCTTTCTACTGATTCCCAGGCAGAGATGGTGCAGCTTCAAGAAACCTGAGCTCAAGGGAGCCTCTGAGGCAGCCCCAGAACTTGGGTTCAGTCTTTGGTACTGGAGCTGCTGGTCTCTGAGTGACTGCTGAGCTGTTAAGTCTTAGAAGATTCACATAATGAGGATGACTAATGAATTCATCTTCCAAAAAATAAAACCCCAAACCCATTGCCGTCGAGTCGATTCCAACTCATCTTATGTCTGTGTTCTTCATTTTAAATATGGCTGCTCCTCAGGAAGAGTTTAAAAATGGTGGCAATTAGTAACTTTTGTTAAACAAAACATACACACTACGGGGTCGCTATGAGTTGGAATCATCTCAATGGCACATAACAACAACATATATTCAGCACCAGTCATTGACACTGGCATATAGTGAACACTGAGCACTCTACGGAATTGCTTCTGCCATTAAGTCAGCCCCTGCCTTGTGGTGACCCCATGCACAATGGAACAAAATGCTGCCCAGTCCTGTGACATTATTGGTTATAGATTGGACTGTTTTAATCAATAAGGTTTTCATTGGCTGATTTTTGGAAGCAGATCGCCAGGCCTTTCCTCCCTGGCTGGTGCCAATGGTTAATGAGCTCAGTTGCTAATGGAAAGGTTGGAGGTTCAAGTTCACCCAGAGATGCCTTGGAAGAAAGGCCCGGTGATCTATTTCCAAAAAATTAGCCGTTGAAAACTTTATGGAGCACAGTTCTGCTCTGTCACAGATGAAGTTGCCATGAGTTGGAGTCCACTCAGCAGCAACTAGTAGGTATCACTAGAGTCACCATATTTTCCCATCTCCATTCAGAGATGAGATATTGAGGCTAGAGAGTCCAAGCAAGTTTCCCTAGATCCCAGGACCAGGAAAGTGGTCCCAGAGCCAGGATTCAAACCCAAGGAACTGTGCTTGCAACCCCTGGTGCCATTGTTAATAACTATTCTTATGGGTCTGTTTTCTTAATGTACATCAGGAAGGATGGGGTTTGCTCATATTTGCTCAAATTAGTCTATTTTATCCAATACCATTCATTAAAAAAAATCAACACTTCAGCTGTGGCCTGGCTGCTGGATGCTCTGTTTCCAGAAGGACATTTCGCCCTTACATTTGTTTCATGAAGTTGGCAAAGGACACAACCCTTTGAGGCTCTGGACTGGAACTGGAGTCTCCCAGATCCATGCCATCTCTACTGGAGAACACACAATCCCTGGCAAAGAGCAAGCCCCGGGCAGCATTCCTCTCTCCCCACGACAGTGATGCTGTGTAACTCAGAATGCTCAGTTACATTTCAAATTTATTTCCAATCATTGTGTGCTGGAACAATGGGAGACAAAGGTGCCTTTTAGCTCTGGCACCTGCTGTTTCCCAAATGTCAAGGACGGACCTTTGAGGCCATTGCCTCCAGTCAGTGTATGGACGACTCCCTTCGTTTCTCCCCTAGTCCAGGCCCAGCCACCCAACAAGGCCTGGCATGTGATGGCAGCCTGAACTGTCCAGGAAGACTGTGTGCCCAGACGTGCTCTCTCCCTGGGTCCCTCTGGTGGGGGGCACACCCTCTTTTCCCCTCTGGGCAGGCCCCTCATATTCCAAGGCACACATTTTTGGAAGGTGGGTGCCCTATGGTCTGTCTGGTAGTGGTTGGCAGGGGGATGCATCCTCTCTCGTGGAGTTGGAGCAGGGGCAGAGAGAGGTGCAGCCGGTACCCCTCAGATAAAGTATTCCTTTGTGCTGCTGTCACCCACATCCTGGAGGTCAGGGTCATCCTGCAGGGCCACATCTGCGCTCTCAGCAAACTCTGTGCCCTTGTCCTCGTTGGTGTAGTACGTGCCCTTGTGCTGGCACAGGTAGTGTAGCATGATGAAGAGGAGGCCAATCAGGACGAAGGCTATGGCAGCGACCACACCTGTGGGTGGGAAGAGATGCATGGGTCTGTGTGGGGTGGGCAGCCCCGGGCCTGGGCGGGAGGTCAGGACCAACAGAGGTTCTGCCCAGGACAGACACGCTGTAGCAACAAACGTCAACACCAAGCGTGGGGGTTCATTCCCTCCTCACTCATATTTCTGCCTGGTGTGTCCTTCCCTTATCTCTGCCTATCCACAATTATCCCATTCTCTCCTCTGCTTTCCTTCTTCCTCCCTCCCCTCTGTCTGCCCTCCTGGGATCCCCCTCCCTGCCTCCGCTCAGCACTCTTCATGCTGAAGTGTGAGCAGGGTCCTGGGATTCCTCCCTGCTCTGTGCACACTACCTACCGAGGAAGACAGACAGCAGGCGTATAATTTGCACAATGCACATATGGGAGTTTGTTGGAGGGGCCCATTCCCCTGAAAGGATACATCACTTTGCTTTAAAACCAAGACATTCCTACCCCAGGGGTTTCCTGGGACATAGGACTTGCAGGGCTAAACCCAGGAAAGTCCTGCCTGAGCAAACTGGACAAGTGGGTTGCCCTAGGCGCAGTGTGGGGGCACATTGGATGAGGTGTAAGCTGTGTTTCCCAAATGCAGGAACACAGCTCCTTGCCCCCCCACCCCAGCTCCCATTCCCTCTAGGGAGTGATGTTGAGGTGAGTCTCGCAGGAGGAGCAGGGTTGGCCAAGAAAAGGACTGAGTGGGGAGGGCTCCTGCAGGAGGCACTGGTGCAAATGCCAGGAGGGTGATTTGGGAGCAGTTAGTCCTTTCATATCCCACCAGGGAGGGTGGGGAAGTGAGGCTTAGTGTTGGTGAGTGGGGGCCGGATCAGCCAATATGGGCCTTATGAGTGATGAGGTACAGGGTTAACACTCTAGAATTTCTAGAAGGGGCTTAAAGGCAACAATCTCAAGGAGGTGGGTTGTTGTGAGGTTTGGGAATTTGTTTTGAAGCTGCAGAACAAGTCCTGTCTTTTCTTAGAGTGCATGTTTATTTGGGGGCTCCCAGGGGGGCTGTTGGAGATTCCCTGTTGCCATTGGAGATGATTCTGATTCACTGAGACCCTACAGGACAGAATAGAACTGCCTCACAGGGTTTCCAAGATGGTAATCTTTGCAGGAGCAGACTCCCACATCTTTCTCCCACAGAGCAGGTGGTTAGCAGCCAACCTTTAGGTTAGCAGCAGAGCACTTAACCATTGCACCCACCACCAGGACTCCTTGTTGGGATTACGGGGAGGCTAAAGCTGTTCCCAGCCCCCACCTTTGTGTGTGGACCAGTTTCCCAAACTTCCCACTGCCTCCCGTTAATGCTTGTGTCTGCACAGTGCTAATAGTGTCTGCTGAGAAAGATAAGGGCCCAGTGGCCCAATGAGTTTACCACGCCAAATTAAACAAAACTGATCCCGTTTCTTTGATTGTTTGCTTTTCTTTTCTTTTTTTCTTAACTGTAGAAGTTCCCTGAGCTACTCATGAGGTAGCAAGAAGTGTGACTCTCAAAGAAGGAAGCCTAAGTATACTGGAAACACAGTTTGGGGTCACAGGTGTGACCGATGGGGAGCCAGCACGGGTTTGAGGCAAGGCCAGGGCGGGGCCATGTTTGTGTTTAGTGGAGGATGGAGAGAAGATGGCAGGAGAGGGTGGGATGAGGGACAAAGAGGAGGGGTCCAGGAAGCTCATGTCAGTCTTATCCACCCACCCTACCCCCAAACCTTGACAGACACAGTCCCTCTCTCTCCAGCCTCTGAGTGCTGAGAGCGGCGCATCCTTCCACATGTACCGCGCTGCCCTACCTCTCCACCCGGGCCCAGTGCTTCACTGGAGTCTACCATTAAGGAGGGGAACACACTGCCCAAAGGCCACCCCCAGCCCAAGTCGGCCTCCTTCCCCTCCGCCGCCCGCCATCCCAGCTGTTTCAGGGGCCAAGGGCAGCTCACCTGCAATGATTGCGATGTCAGTCACAGTGTAGGCCACCCCTGGGTCGGTATCTGTGAACAGGTTAGGGCAGCCGAGGTGAGGAGGGAGGCTGGGCCTGCAGCACCTCAGCCTACACCTGCTGACCCCTCTCCTCCCCACACGCCCCCACCTCTGCATGTGGGCGGGGCCTGCAGGGTGAGCAAGTGGCCCCTGGCTGGGGAGGTCTGGTCTGGGGTGCACAGACCCTGGCCCCAGGCCTGCTTGGCCACTGACCAGGGTCAAGAGGACTTTGGAACCACAAGGCTTTGCTACAGGATGTGCTCCCCACCGTGTACCTGTGCTTAGACCAAGGCCTGTACCTGGGGACACTCAGTAGCCACGTGTGGTGTGCATGAAGGAGTGGATTGTTACTAGCATCATCTGCTTCTCTGGGCTCCAGTCTTCCTCATAGCAGTGGTAAAAACAGACTCTCTGTGCAGTGTCTGCTCAGGCCAGGTGCTAGCTTAGTAACCTTCACATCAGTCCTCTAAAGTGGATGGGTATAGTAGCCCATTTCACAGGTGGGGACACTGAGGCTTCCAGAGATGCTGTGCCCACAGTCACACAGCTTCTTTGGTGCAGGGCCTGCCTCAGTCAGCCCTCACCTTGGGCTGGCAGGGCGCCTTCCTTTATTCCTGTATTGCCTGGTCTCCGTTCTCCTCCTGAGGTCCCGCTACATGCCTTTGCACTGACCCCTGCGGGAGGGGCCCTGTGGCTTCATCCAAGTTCCTGAGCCTGATTTTCCAGCATCACTGGCCTGGCCAAGGGCTGGGCTCTCAAGGAGAGCAGGAAGCTGCACACTGACCTCGAGCCTCTCGGGAAGAGCAGCGAGGAGAAGGGCCTATTATTAGACCATGGAAATATCAGTGTTAACATGGAAACCCCGTGTTCCCGTTACAGTGGCTGCGCATATGAAAACAGAGGAGGCAGCTTTATAATAGTCAGTTCTGCTCAGATAATCTCTTTAATGATAGTGCTGTGAGGTCATTCTCCAAGCCCAGCTGCCAGATGCCTCTTTCTGATGCAAAAGTGGCCGGTGGGCGCTGGAGCCAGGACGGCCTGTGGTGGAGAAGAAGGGGAGAGGGCCAGGCTGGAGGCCCAGGGCAGGAGAGCAGGCTAGGGGGGCTGGGGAGGCAGGAGAGAGGACAAAATGGGCACCCACGAAGAGACAGGGCAAGGGGAAAACAGGAACCAGACAGGGAGGAGAGCTGGGAGGACTCAGGTTTCAGATACTACACAGTAGCAAGACCTGGAGCAGGAGGAGGGGAAGCTCAGGAGGCACTGGACTCTGAGACGCAATGTGTGAACAAGTGCCACGTATAAGAGAACATCTAGCACACAGTTGCTGTTAGTTGCTGTTGAGTTGGCTGACTCATGGAGACCCCATGTACAACAGAATTAAACATTGCCTGGTTGGTATACTCAAGTCCATTGTTGCAGCCACTGTGTATTTTGAATGCCTTCCAACATACAGCGCTCATCTTCCAGCACTATATTGGAAGATTCTGTTGTGATCCACAGAGTTTTCATTGGCTCATTTTCAGAAGTAGATTGTCAGGCCTTTCCTCCTAGTCTGTCTTAGTCTGGAAGTTCCGCTGAAACCTGTCCACCACGGGTGACCCTGCTGGTATTTGAAATACTGGTGGCACAGCTTCCAGCATCCCAGCAACACTCAAGCCACCACAGTATGACAAACAGACAGATGGGTGGTAGAACACACAGTCCCGTTAAACCAAACCGATTGCTGTTGAACTGATTCCGACTCATAGGGACCCTATAGGACGGAGTAGAACTGCCCCAAGGAGTTTCCAAGGAGCAGCTGGTGGATTTGTACTGCCTACCTTTTGTTTAGCAGCCAAGCTCTTAACCACTGCGCCACCATGGCCAGGAGCTCTTGTCAGCATTTACCATGTTTTAACTCATTTAGTCCCTGTGACAGCCCTATTTGGTAGGAGTTATTATTACTCCCATTTTACAGATTTGGAAGCCAAGTCCTAGACAAGTGTCGTTTTTCTGGGTCATACAGCTAACGAATGTTCACATCTAAGCTAGCTAAGAAGCAGATGAGGTACGTGAATCACTTTGGGTGAATTTCTTGGTTAGTGATCTGGGACATTGTACCCAAATCTATATCTGGAAACACTAGAAGCACTCCTGGCCAGGCCTGCTGGGCTGGGGAGGCAGGTGGCACCTGAGACCACCAAGGGATCACTGATGGCACGTCCCAGCCTGGGTCCCCTCTAGAGCTTATGCCCACAAAGGGATATGGTGGGCAGCAAAGCCTGCTCTATTCAAATTGCCTGTCTTCACACCCACCTCTCCCAGGTATGCAGAGTTGAGTTTGTACAAGTCGCATGACCATGATGTGATGACTACCCAACAGTGACAATTCAGCATGGCCAGAGCACCACACAGGTCAGAATGGCACAGAGGAGGAAGCTCAGGCCAGTCTGAAAAGGTGGAGATGGGTAAGATCCCGGACCAGCGGCCTCAGCATCCCCTGGGAAAGTGTTAGGAATGCAAATTATCAGGCCCCTCTTGATCTACTGAGTCAGGAAGACTGCGTGGGCCAAGAGTGTGTGTGGGAACAAGCCCTCCTGGGTTTTCTTATGCATGCTCAGGGTAGAGAACTGCTGGCGTAAGAGAAGGGCTCCAAGATTGCCCCAATGGATAAAGAGGAGTTTGCTGCAGAGACAAGAGTATAGCCATTCC